ATTGTGCAATTTTCTAATCAAACACAAGAGGGCAGGTTTTGCTTTATGGTAAGCCTAATTCCATCTGCTAGCAATCAAGGTGGTCATTGTGCTAATTGCAAATTCAGAAACACTCAATAACATACAAAGTGAATGAGTATTCATGCTGGGTAACTTTGGCAATGAAAACTCTATTGTTTTAATAAAGCCATGCTGAAGCCTTTCTCTTTAGCCTTATTTACAAGACAGAGAACAATTACACTTAGAAGACACTGTAATAGTTTTAGTGTATGTTTATAAACTGCCATGGGAGAATAGAATGGCTAAAACAAGGAAGGGCCAAATTCCATCATGTTATATCCAAGAAGTCTGACTTCAATGGATGTGGTAAAGAACACAAGTGGGCTATTGGTTTCTACCAGAAAGGTGTAGTACAGGTGAAAATATTCACAGCCTATAGGCCTTGAATAGGCACTTTATGTTTTCATCTGCTTCATTTTGTTTAAGGAAACTTTAACACATTCCAGAGCTTACAATTTTCTAGTGTGTCATTTTCAAGATTTCTGTAAACTACCTGCCAAAACATAATTAAATTCACAGAGGTTATTTTCAGCTTGAACTGCTATTACAGCTGAAGTCCAAGTACACTGGGCCCTCTGCATCTGTGGGTTACACTTCAGCATTCCCTAAGGATGGAAACTATTTGGGGAAAAATTGCATCTGTACAGAACATGCAGAGTTCTTTTTTCTTGTTGTCATCATTCCCTAAACAATACAGTGTAATAACTATTTCTGTAGCATTTACACTGGACAAGTAACCCAGAAATGATCTCCAGTATACAGCAGGATACCAGAAGTTTATATGCAAATGCTATGCCATTTTGTATAAAGGACTTGAGCATCCTCAGGTTTGAGTATCATGGTGGAAAGGATCCTAGAACGAATCCCCACCCACATACCAAGGGAAAGCTGTCCCAAGTGTTCTTGGAACCAAGTTTTCCAGAGTGATGCTGCTGGGGTCCATCAGTGTGAGAGAGGCCCTGGTTTGCCTGAGTAAATGATTCACCCATTAACTCTCTCCACCTGAAGGACATCAGACAACGGTGGGCCCTAAAGTGACATGCGTAAGAAATTTGGGGAGAAGTTAGTGAAGATCTTAATGTTCTACTCTAGTCCCTCTCAATGGAAAAATCAAGACCTGCCAGTGGTGGGAAGGAGATGCATCCAGAGAGAGAATGAGGCCAAAGTGTCCCCTTGTGTTAGGTCGCATGGAGTGAAATGCCACCCAATGGAAGTACAACTCAAAATCTGAAGGATAAGTGGTTGTTAATTTCATAGCTGGGAAATAAGACTCCACTCTCATGTTTTACCCAGTACACATTAAAACACATGCCAGAGACCCTCAATGAAATGTTCTACTTTGTGACTGGCTCAGGTATCCATTCATTCATTCAAAAATACTTATAGAGTACTCAGGATGTGCAAGGCAGTGTAGAAATAGGAAGACTTAAACCTTGGGATTTGCCATTGCATTGGGCTAGATGATTACCTGTCACTGGGCAGGGGAGGTAACTCTTATGCACCCTGTATCAATTGGTTATTGGAGCTGTACAGTGAAGTGTGCCACTGACCTCCAAGTTCACATGGAGATGTGCAAGTGAACACTGTACAACCATCACCCACTGGCCTCACCTTCCCTTTTCTGGAGGTCTCCAACAGATGGATCGATGGATAAGGCTCACCTGGAGGATCAGTAGTGAGCTGCTCCTGCACCCATCCTCCTTCACCAGTGACTTGAAGCAGCTGCCCACCTCAGGATCAGTCATTCAAACGGGGGATATTGAGCAAAACCCCTCACCTGGGAAAGGCTGCAGTCTCCTTTTTTGACATGAACAGTTGACATCCAGAAAGCAGCCATTGCTCAGAAACTCACCCAAGAAGCAGCATATCAGTTTGGGAACTAATTTTCAGACGTGAAGTCATTATTTTCTATTTTCTACATATTTGTATTTCAATATATGTATGACAAGTGCCCAAAAGATGGAAATTAATCAAAATTTAAAAATTAAACTAAAAAAATAACTTCCAAACAACAAACACAATGTGCAAAACAGCATTTATTTTTATTTTCCTCTTTAATAAGTCTTCTAATACTTGTTAATGTGAGATTAAAATTATTCATTTGAAGTATTATAACTAATAATGTTATATCTTAAGCAAGATACAAATAAACGTCAAAATTTTAGACTTAGAAGATAATTCAAAATTCATAAAGGAAAGATGTTACAGGATTGCATTTCACTTCTGAATATCACCTTTATAAAAGCATTTCTATTAAAATCATAATTTATATACATATAATTTTCCCAGTACTCAGGATAAGCATATAAAGTGATCTGTTCATTTTCTTCAAGGTTAAATATTTTTCTCCCTCATTGAAAAGTACATTCCTGCAATGCCCAGTGACATTTTCTGAGTTTATTTGCATAATATTCAATGTAAGTTAACCCCAACTTTTTATTCTGTAAGTTTATCCTACCTTTAGAGTAGTTAAAATGCATTCTTAACTGATTTGCTGTAAGATTAGAAAATGTTACAAAATTTTATTCCTCTTCTATGAACTACAAAATTAGGAAATTATTTCTTTCAGGAAGACTTTATAAAACATAATATTTATAGAAAGTTGCACAAGTGTAATTTGATTACTATTTATCTCTACCTCAAGTAGGTCTTTCTTTAATTGAATCTTATGAAAATATGATGTATGAAAATTCTGATATACCTGAAAGATAAACTAGAGATGGTTATTTGCTTTATAGAATTATTCATACTAGTTCATCTACAAAAATGTGATTTTCCTGGGTGTTTTTAACATATAATTGATTTATATAGAACTTTTCAGGAACATATCTTCCATGTACAATTATATCTTTATTTAATGTATTTCCTTTTTTGTTGTTGTTTAAAAGCAGGAGGTAAAAATGTGTTCCCCAACAATCCTGAGTCAGAGCATAAACTTTCCAGAAAGGACCATATGAACAATGCATGGCCATGTTTTCCATGAATACTGTTAATAGCAGAAATCGGATCTACACATGTGGCACTGTGACTAAAAAGCTCAATCCACAAAGGACACCAGGTTACCTGGGTTGTTATTGCTGAGCCTACTCTCAGATACACCTGTAACTTTATGAGATTCACCTTCAAATTCGGTAGCAACGGAGTATTGTCCATTTCTCTGGCTTTAGAATTCACTCCAGAGTAAAATGCTGGTTCTTTGAATCTTGTCCCTTCTTGGTCCCCCAATATGTGGAAGACAGCTTCACGGTCATTGTAACAGAGGGGCAACAAGCCAACAGAAGAGCCAGGCTCTAGAACTTCAGCCCCACTCCTAAGGAGGCACAGACACCAAGAGCAGATGAATTTGCTTTGAAATCTCAATAACCATTAACTTCTCAGAAGTGGGGAACATCAGGATAAGTCTGAACATCATAGAAAAAAAGGCCTCATTCTTATTTCTCATGATCTGATAATTACTTAGAAGAACATAGTCACTTAATTCTGAATTGTTGTATTTAAAACAGATGGTTTGCTTCTGAACAATAAGACTTCATTGATTAGTATTCATGAGTTACTATCAGTACAGCACAACATTAATGAATCTAGAGTCAACTCTTAAAAAATAAGCCTAATGCATTACATGTAAAAAAAAAATTTTCATTGGAAGTTACCTAGCAAAGGAATTGGTTGAGGATAAGACAAAGGAGACCTGAGAGTAATGGGACACCAATCAAATTGTCTCACTCTTGGGATTATAGCCTCACCAGGCTTCTCCAGTCAGCCTTCCCTGGAAAGAGTGATTCCATCCTTGTTAATAGGTTTAGAACAGCATGCTAATTAACAAGGAAGCACTATAATTGTATTCCCTTATCTGTTTACTTATCACTATAGCATCGATGTTTATCCAGCTATAGAATCTTATAGTAAGTCCATGATTAAGAAATGCACATTTTTAATACATTCTGTGAAGTCTAATGTATAAAGAAAACTGACTTAATCATTATTCATTCTTTGGAAAATAAGATCTATTTTCATCTTTAACACTGGAGAGGAAAAGAGAGAGAAAAGAAAAAAAAAAAAAAGATGCCCAAGGAAGACAGACGGGAGGGAATCTAAAGCATCGCTTGAATTAAAAGGGACCTTGGAGATTCATCTCGTACCTGCAGCCCTGCTATGCTTTGAATGTGGTTGGAGTGTCCCCACAAGGCTTCATGTTGACATGCAGTCCCTATTGTGAGGTATTAAGAGAGTGGAAACAATTCAAGTCTGATGTTTAGAAGTAGAGCCCTTGGGAAGCAATTAGAATTAGATGTGACCACGGGGGCACCCCATGATTGAGTCCTAGAGATTCTAAAAGGAGGGAGAGAGAATACATAGACACGCTCACACAGGTGTGTTCCTTGTCTCTTGCCATGCACTTCCAGGGGACTCCACCAACAATAAGGCCCTCACCAAATGTAGCCCCTGAATCTTGCACCTAGAGAACTGTGAGCCAAATAAAACTCTTTTCTCTATAAAGTTAGCCTGCCTTGGGTATTCTAGGATAATAATGAAAAGCTAATTGATACACACTTCTCACCTCCATGCCAAAGACACTTGATCTAAGCAAAATGTAACTACGATCTTGTCCAGGTCTCAAATTACACTGCATATTTCAATAAATCCGCTTAATGATTTCACTTATTTATTTTGGGGGGCTTTCTATTTGGAGAATTCTTATCAGATACCACAAACTGTCAACTCTACCTCAATTTGACAATAGAGATAGGACCCAAGCACTTTAGCTGCAGTTTGTTAAATAAAGCAAACCAGAATCTTTAGCTAAACATCTTCTGTACTGGGGATGATATCACTAGAGGGGAAGCTATGCCAGAGATCTTCAACTAAAGAACAGTGAAGACTTGTCCTATTATTTTAAAGGTCAGAATGCCAACTCTTCTTTAGGATAGAGTCTGAGCCTCCTAAGCGCCTTCTGTGTATCTCTTGTTGCTTAGATGAGTCTCCATCAGGGGTGTGTATCCTTTTCGAAGCCTTCGGTATTGAAGGTACATCAGCAGCACAAAAAGACCCACCATAGCCAGCAGCAGCCCTGAAACCACTAAGAGTGTTGGGCTCCAACCTGGAGTTTCTTCCACTGAAATTAAAGCAGAAGAGAAAGTTCCACAATCAGGATTTCCATCAGCTGAATATTCTCAGAAAAAGGAAGAATAAACTTATTTGTCTATCACATGCATTTTCATTGATAAAGCAAAACTACCCTTGCAGAATGGAATTTATGTTCTCTTTCCTCACCAACTGTTCATCATAGCCACAGTTGTTTTCTCCAGGAAGTTGGAAAGGGCACCTCATTATTTAAATACAACTTACTACATTTTTAAAAATTGTTACAATAAGTGCTTTTGTGCAGATAAACCCTCTAAGGAAGTATATAACTATTTTATAAGTTAGAAACTTATTTGTAAAAATGCATGCTAAAATGGTATCTGGGGAATTACAACCCCTAATTATGCAACCATCAGGTAGGACTATCTGCTTTTGTCTCTGCCTTTTTTATAGATGATAAATGTGAAAGGGATCAGACTGGCTCTTAAAACAAGAGACATTCAATAGCAGAATTAGATAGATCTGTAACCCATTAAAATAGTTGTAAAATCTGAATGTTCCACATGGTAAATATAACCCTCTACTCACATATATTGTATAAGCACCCTTCCACAAAATTAGTGATTTTATTTTTAATATATTTAGAACTATTTGTCATTTCTTAAAAAAAATATCCTTTCCACTATCAGCTCTTCTAAAAATTCTGTCCCTTGTTCTATACCCTACACCCTTATAAACATAATATTACCTTCCCTGTTCTTTTCATAGAGGCCAAGACCCATCCTGACCAGATTCCTCTGTTGTTATTCCATTCCTCCTCCCCCTCCTCCTCTTCCTCTTCTTCCCCCCCACCCCATTTTTTTTGTACTGGGGACTGAACCAAGGGTTGCTGAACCACTGAGCCACATCCCCAGTCCTTTTTTTTCAGTTTTATTTTGAGACACGGTCTCTCTAAGTCCTTAGGGCCTTGCTGAATTGCTGAGGTTGGTTTCAAACTCAATCCTCCTGCCTCAGCCTCCCAAGTTACTGGGATTATAGGTGAGCATCACCATGCGCGACTAGTTACATCTTCTTAAAACAGATTTTTATTCTGCCATTTCTTTATTAAGGCACCCAAAATGATTGCCTTTTAGTATTGTCCAAATCCTCTGCCTAGCTTTTATAGTGATCTTTTTTTTTAATTGTGTTGGAATACACACATAAAATTTTACCATGTTAACCACTTTTTACCACAGCTCGTTGGCATTAAGGACAGTTACATTGTTGCGAGGCCATTATCATCATTTCCATCAACTGTCCCCAGAACTCTTATCTTGTAAAACTGAAATGTTGTATCCATTAAACAGTAACTCCCCATTCACCCCACCCTCCAACCTCTGAAAACCAGTCTCTGTCTCCATGAATTTGACTATTTTATATTCTTGAATAACTGGAATTATGGAATATTTGTACTACTATGTCTAGCTTATTTCACATTAATGTCCTCAAGGTTTATTCTTGTTGCAGCACATAACAGAATTTTCTTCCTTTTAAAGGCTAAATAATTTTCCATTGTATTTATATAGCACAGTTTGTTTATCCATTCATCTATTAACGGGCACCTGGGTTGCTTCCACCTTTGGTCATTGAGAAAAATAATGTTATGAACATAAATGGACAAATATCTTTTCAAAACCCTTCTTTTGATTTTTTTGGATGTATACCAACAAGTGCAATTGTTAGATTATAAGGTAATTCTGCATTCAGTTTTCTGAGAAATTCCCCATAGTGGTGTGCCATTTTATATTCCCATCGGCAATGCACAAGGGTTCCAATTTCTCCACATCCTTGCCAACACTAACTATATACTGCTTTTTTAATAGTAGCCACCCTAATAGGTATGAGATGGTATCTCGCTGGGGTTCTGCCTGGCTCTTGAGGGCCTCTGTAATCAGCCTTTTTACAGGTCAGACCTTAATTCACAGTAATCCCCTGCCCGGGCCTTTCACTACAGCCAGGTGTAGAGGGAAAGGAACTTTCTTTCCACTCTATGAAGGTTTGATAATTTGAGTTTATAAAAGAAACTAACAAGGAAGAGATTAACAAAAGATTCAGCACACAAGCATGAACATATATGTGCAAGAGAGTCGCAGGAGGCATGCTGAAAGAAGGGCATCTTGATGCTCACATACCCTCTTTTCAGGAGAAAGGGAACTGGGGCTATAGGTAACTTTGGGGAAAGAGTGAATGATTTTAAGAGAGATTCCTACTCCCAAGAACATACAGTAATCTGGGACAAAGTTCTCCTGGCTCTGACTGGGCGTCACCTCTAGTCTTTGTTCTGCGAGTTCATCTTCTGGAGGACCTGCCTTCAGGTAGAATGGGGAACTTCAGAGACAGTCCTTCAGCAATTTGGGAGGAAAAGGGGTGGAGCTGGCAGGGAGGGGGCAGGAGAAGGACAGAGAGACCTCGGTTCTCCTTTAGCTCAAAGCATTTGGCCTGCCCATGTGTCTCACTTTGAGAGACCCTTTTCTGACCCCATGCAGAAAACACGTTAGACCACATGTGCCTTTCCCTGTCTGTCCCCCTCCTTCTTGAGTCTGACATATACCCTCACCTTCCTCTCCTCTGCATGTCTCTTAAAATCTCGTTCAATGCCCACCTCCTTTAAGGAGCCATTCCCCAGTCCCTCACCCCAGAACATGCCTCCCCAGAACAGACCCCTTGGGCATGAGGGTGACGTAGAAATGAAGGCAATTAAGATTCAGTAGATGCAGAAAGAAGCCTTCCCAGAGCCTACACAGACCTTGCTCAGACAGCCCTCCCCTCTGGTAGTTTCCTCCACACATTTACCTTCCTACAGAGTGCCACGTTTGGAAGTCCAAACCCCTTCTTCCTTTGTCTTTCACATCTGCTGGTTCTTTGCACAAAACAGTATGGAAGTTCTCAGGCCTATCTACTTCTTTGGCTCTTCACTTCCTTTCTAGAAAGCTCCCCCAGGGCACATCCAAACTAACATCAAATTAAATTCATGTGCTGTTGATCATCCTTCTGTCCTGCTCATTTGCTGGGCACCACTCAGTAAATGTGAGAGCTAGAGAGGAGTCCCCTACTATTTACAGTTAAATCTGCCCAGGCAGGATTGTAGATTTCATTGTCGAGCCAGTAAGTGAATATGAATTTGCATCTTCTGATGAGTTAGCACATTATGGGCATATTTTGGACCCAGATGATACATGTTGATCAACTGTCATCAGAGGAAATCGAAACAGGTCAGAGTGTACATTCCAAATTTTCAATTATTATTTTGTTTCATCCCAGAGGAAAGACAGAGAAATTGAAAAGACATATCCTCAATTATTCAAAGTTACTTCAAAGAAGAATAAGGAGACGCAGAGCTAGATAGAAAAACAGGGGACAGATTCTAGTGCCTGAAAGACTCCGATGTCAGAGAGAGATGGGGGAGCACAGAAATCATCTTGATCTCTTTGTAGACTGAGATTTGGGGAAAATGAAATAGATACAAATGGGAAAAAGTGATCAGAAGATTGTTGTTGTGCATATTTCTTGAAAATTCAGATATTTTTGTGGTGTTTTTTTTTTTTGTTTTTTTTTATCTTTCCTTTCTCAAACTTTCCTAAAATTCTTGAAATGGCATGTGAAGCCATATTAAGGTCTGGGCAAAAAGAACATAGTATTTCCCGGTATATGCTGACAAAAATATTCTCCAATTTTGAACCAAATGAGATGAGTCAATAAACGTTCTATGATTTAAAACCATGAGTCAGAAAACTTTAACTTATAAACATCACATAAAGCCCCACGTAGTCCAATCTGCTGGCAGGCCAATGTCAACCATCATAAACCTACCCCCGCAGGGTGAACAGTACAGGCAGATGAAAAGGACTAATCCAGTTTCAAAGAACATAAGTGTGTAAAAGACCCACACAACAGTCTGTCTGCATTCAAAAGTGTGATGGTTGTTACTCATCATCAAATTTTTACATTCATTTTGGTCTTTTAAAATACTGCCTGATATTATTTCTTACCACAATTACTGGGCTTTGGGCCTCCCTTTGAATTTTGGGCTCCAGGCGAATCCCATAACTTGTCTCACCATAACCTCAGCCCCACCTTCAGGCAAGGATCCCTACATCCTGCTAGTCCAGGTCACATGTGGCTAGTTCATTTAGACTTTATTGGTTGGGCTTTTGAAACAGCCATAAAGCAGTTTTCGATTCATTTGATTAATTCTGATAGAATTGTCAAATCAGGCAGAGGAGTCAATAGTTCCTCTGTGAAATAAGGTCCCTTAATAACTTTCAGTTTCCTAGAACAACAGGGTGCCAACTAGTGCCTTTCTGATGTTTAATTGGCAGTTTAACGACTCATCTTGTTAAATACATATATTTCAGAAAATAGCCAATAAACTTAACTAGGCCTGAATGCTTCAATTAAAGGTCTTGGTTTACATTACATTAAAAAGAAAGAAAGAAAGTAAGCTCTTTTAGAAGTTGAATGAATCACCCGTGTAGAAGCTGTATTAGCTACCTGGCAGATCAATGGTGTAACTGTAGCCAAGTTGTTCTGCAGGTAAAAAGAGTTCCTCGTTGGTGACCGGAGGAAAGAAAGGAACCAAGTTATACATCCGATTGTGGCCAATGGGTGCCAGCTCCTGAGGCCAGGCATCCACAGGAGGGTTGTATCTTCTCATCCACTCATCAAAGATGGCGTCAGTAAAGGAATGGAGAACCTGCAAGACAGCACAGCATGGCGTTTAACATGGAAGGGCCCATTCCAACCAACCAACCAACCGACTGGAGCTTTCTCCAAATGGAATAGAGCTCTTGTTGACCCGAGGAGCTGCTGTGTGCCCAATTCACCCTTAACGACAACATACACGCTGACATCTCTTACTGAGTTTTCAGGGATGGTGGACATCTCTCTCCAAACAGGATTGTAGACCCTTCGTCAAGTGAACAAATGAAAGTGTGTTGCAGATTTAATATTGGTTTGTGAATATTTGAGGCCTTCACCCTGGGTGTGTTGATTTTTAATTTCAGAAAAAAATGTCAAGTATGATGAGATCTATACGCTAGTAAATATTCAAATGTTTTGGTTTAATAGGAAAGAGGAACAGGTGACAATATTACAGTTTTGTAATACAAAAAGATAGTAACAAGCAAAAAAAGAAAATCTTCATGTTTTTGAAATGAACTTTTAAATTTGCCTCATCAGGAACACCCCTTCATTTATTTTATAAATCCCTCACTTGGATTCTTGGTACTATGAAAGCAATAGGGAATCTAAAGATGTTGTAATGCAGATAGTGCTCATTTTTATTTTCTAAGAGAAGCTCTTAAAGTCCTTTTCAAATACAGCAATGATTAACGTGTTTTAAAATATTAACAGCAAAATCTCCACTTGTGCATCCCTGACTCTACAACAGGATGTAAATGCAAGATTCTGTATCTGGTGATTAGAGTTGGCAGACTGCAAGTTCATGGAGCTGAGGGAAGGTGGCTGCTTCTCTTTCCTCCTGTGCCCCAGGGATTGACACCCCAGGGCCACCACAGAAATCCAACAGTTCTAAAACAACCATGCTGTGAGGAAGCCCAAACCATCCCCCGTGAGAAACCCCATGCAAAAAGTCCTGAGACTTCTGTATCATCTGCCACCACCTGGTGCAAGTACACAGACAGACCCAGGCGCATCCCATAACTTGTCTCACCGTAATCCCAGAACTGGCACCGCCTGGCCAAGCCTTGCTAGAACTTCTGACCCATAGAAATCATGAGAAATGGAATGATTCTTGATGCTTCGAGCCACTAAGTGTTGTGATGACCTCTTAAGTAACGAGAACTGTGGGGAAAGGCCTGGATACAGTCTCAGGCTCCAGCTCACTCTAGCATGTGCAGGGAAAGGTTTCTAGGTCCCCAAGGAGAAGAAGCAAGACTCCTCCAGTCCTCTAGGAATCAGAACCAAAATGGGAATTCAGAGGTGATCACTTAAGTCACATGGTAGACACAGACACAGGTGCGCACGGAAATTCCCAAGTTCAAACTTAAGGTAGATGGTAAAAATAAGAAGGTAGGTCAGTCTTTCTAAATGAGACAATTCCCGATGGCAATTTTGAAAAATGTTATCAAACTTATTATTTTATGAAAATATTTATTTATCCTTCCTTTGCTCTACCAAGGATTTGAAGCAATATATAATCAGAAGGTGGCTTTCACATTTTCCTAAATAAGCCATATGTAATAGGCAGGAAATAGTTCAACAGCACACAGGCTTCTACTTAGCTGGCTAAGTTCTTTTACTGGGAACATTTTAGTGAGGCATGAGAAATTATCTCCAGCCTAGACTGAAAGCAGGGGACCTCTCCAATTCGTATGTTGAAATCCTAACCCCAATGTAATGGTGTCAGGAGGTGAGGCCTTCGAAAGGTGAAGGTCATGAAAATGGAGCCCTTGCTTTCAGTGATATGAGGACACGGAAAGAAGAGGGTCCTTACCACACATCGAGCCTGCTGATACCTTGAGCTCGGACTTACCAGCCTCCAGAACTGTGAGAAATGAACATTTAATAAGCCACACAGTCTATGGTATTTGTGTTATAGCAGCCTGTGTGGACTAAGACACAATTGTGGGGGGAAAGGACATTTGAGCAGTAACAGTGTCTTCTAGGCAGAGCTCGGCAAAGATGGTTTGTTTGCCATTTTGCTCTAATTTTCTCTAGTCCCTATCTACACTCACTGGACCCTGAGCAGAAAGAATAGAAAGTATTTTTCCAGCATCTTGAAGGAGTTACATCTGAAACCCTCACTTCTTCTTAGATGTGTATAATAGCACTGTATCCAGATATACATACAAATGCATGAAGTGTATACAACATACATTGCCCGAGATATATTATCATGTAGAAGAAAAATAGCCAGAGCACTAGAAATTCAGTTGTTAGTCCCTTGAAAAAGAAAGCCTTTGCTTTATGGATTAAACCCTGAACAGATACAAACAGAAGACTCCACATGGTTCTTCTGAGAGTGGGTCAACTTTAGAAAAAGGGACCCCTTCAATATACATCCATAAGCAACGTGGCAGGTTGAGGAGACAGAAGCAAAGTAATGTGAGAGGAGAATCTACCTGGAGGCAGAACTGTCCCCAAGCCACACTTGGCCACTAGATCATCAAAACTTTAGAAAGGATCAGTGCTAGAACTCTTAGATTTGTATATGAGTCGTGGCTTGCCACTTGTTCATGCCTTATTTCATAGATAATGAAGTGTATATAATGCATCTCTTAGCCCAAGCTTAGTTCTTCTCAGTAGAGTACATGTAAGGAAGATTATAAAGCCTAGAGTTGGAAAGGACATCTTCAGATGACATTTAGCACCTGCCAAATTAAAAAACAAAAACATCCCAGACTGAGCCCACAGAAATCCTGCCACCTGGAGTCCTTTCCAAACAGGTGGTCAGCCATCCTCTCTGATACCTCAGCTCTTCTAAAACTCACCAAGGTGTTTGCTGCTCAGGAGAGAGTGGCTGCCTGTCTGTTACTTTAAAACTGCATATTTTTTAAAAAGTAAATAAAGCATTTAAGAAATGTAACTACATATAATAAAACCAGTGGCCTCATCTTTTCAAAAGCCATGAAAAATTATTCAGACCTACCCTTCTCCAATTAGTGTTAATTCTGATTAACATGATCTAACAGGACTAAATTATCCCAGCTATAATGAAAGCAATTGTGAAGAGATCAAGTTAAGAATTGTTTAAACTGACAAGAGACAAAATTGCTGTGAGAAGGCTGGACGAGGGGAAATGTATGAGTAGGAAACTTCTTACAGTCTCTGCTCAGCCTCTTACTGGATGGTGTGCACTTGAGCATATTTCTTAGCCTCTCTGGATTCTATTTTCCCCATATGTAAAAAACAAGAAGAGTACTTCACCATACACAGCTTTGTGAAGTTGAGAGATTAAATTTGCATTAAATTTGCACAGTGGCTGTCACAGAACAAAGGCTTAATAATATATATAACATTCTCCTAACCCTGAGCCTCACACATACTAAACACACACTTTCCACTGTCTACACCCCCAACCCCTAACAGAAATTCACTGAGCATCCACTACCTGCCGGGAACATTTCTAGAGGTTGGATATGTTGTCAATGATCCCACTCACTTCCCACAAACTCATGAAACCCAGAAAATACATCTTTTATTATTACCAGATTTTTAGGTTTTCCAGGAAATAAGATATCTAAAGAGAATGTTGTATTTTGTTATTTACTTACATGGGGAACAAACCATTTCCACTAATTCTGACTCTATTAAATAGATTTTTGTTTTGTTTTTTCTTTTTCCAGAAGTCCTGATCCTACATGAACAGACAGACCACAAGAAAGGGAATGCAAACAGAATTTTTTCTTTTTCTGGTACTAGGGATTGAACTCAGGGGCACTCAACCACTGAACCACATCTCCAGCTCTATTTTGTATTTTACTTAGGGACAGGATCTCACTGAGTTGTTTAGGGCCTCACTTTTGCTGAGGCTGGCTTTGAACTCACAATCGTCCTTTCTCAGCCTCCTGAGCCACTAGGATTACCAGTGTGCATCACCACGCCTGGCCGCAAACAGAATTTGAAATGGATAAAATGATGTTGAACTTCACTTAGAAGGAGAGGAATGCACATTAAAACTCACAGAAGCACCATTTTACCTGGCAAAGATGAAAAAATAGGATAACTAATAACAAAGATCCTAAGAGTGAGGGAGCTGTGACTCTGATGTACATGTGTGCAGAGGGTAGGTCCTTTGCCTTTGGGAGGCAATTCTAGAACATCCATCCAATATCAGGCGTATTTATTTGCCCCTCAACCCAGGGACTGCATTATTTTAAAGTCCAAGGTTATTTGTTGGAACATCATTTGTAAAGTAAAAAAAATCAGAAGCCACTAAATGCAAGCTAGAGGTGTTGGGACTTCAAGAGGTAATTAGGTCATAAGAGATCCACCCACATGAGTGGACCATGCTTTACTCATAGCCGTGAGTTTGTTCTTACTCTCAGGGAGGCTGGATTATTTATTGTGAGAGTGTGTTTTCCCCCGCCTCAGCTCTCTTAAAACATACTTCTTTCACATCTACCAACTTGCCTTTCATTTTTTGCCATGAGTTGACTCTGTATGAGGCCCTCATCAAAAGCCAAGCAGATGTCAATGCCATGTTCTAGATCTCCAGAACTGTGCACTAAAAAATCTCTTTCCTGTTAACTGACCAAGCCTCAGGGATTTTGTTAAAGCAATACAAAATAGGCAAAGACAATGCCCAGCAATAGGAGACCATTTAAAAATTTCAGGATAAATCCATACAACAGAATGTCATACAGCTGGGGGGCAGGGGGGAGGCAAAAAGAAAACCCTTAATGAACTGTTACAGGGATCTATAATTATAAGTAAATAGATAAGGAAGGCACAGAAGTATCTATGGTATGTTCCATTTTAATAAGTATGTAAACCTCTTTGCTTCTGTATATATATAAAATACATCTGGAAGATTAGAGGAAAAAATTATAATGGGTCACTGGAAGATAGTAGTGATACAAGGACTTCATTTTTTTGAATTCTCATGTGAATTATCTATTTAAAATTTTTGAGATTAAAAAACTTAGGGAAGATTGGAAGTGTATCTCAGTGATAAAAAGGCTTCCTTAGCATGCATGAGCACCTGGGTTCGGTCCTCAGCACCAAAAGTGA